GGGGGGGGGGGGGGGGGAACCCCGATGTTTGTTGATCTTTGATGCTTGACATAGCTCCAGAACCGCTTGTTCTTGGCGGTAGTATCTTCCTCTGAGAAGATGCCGTTCAGGTAGTTCCAGGAGGATCTGCGCAGTAAGCGTTGTAAGCGGAGCCTCAGTACTTCGGCTTTTAGTTCCACCGACCCATTCTTCTTCATACGTTTGTACTGGCGGTCTTTCTTGTGTATGAGCCTTTGCATTTCAGCCGTAACCCATGTTTGATTAGTCTTAGGTTTTGAGGTCTTGTGTGGTAAGAATTTCATTACTGCATCAGTGATTGTTGTCTTTAATTTCATCCACACCTCTTCTGTTGTCGCATTACCCTGTATCTCATGCATGTTTGAACTGAAGGGCTGAAATTCTGATGTAGTTAAATAGAACCTTATTTTCCGGACAGAATATACGTGTAGTTTGTAACATGCACATTTTTGAAAAATGAACGTTAAAACCTCTACAAACAATCATATCATAATGAGACCATGTGGTGAAATTTGACTGAAACCATCGAAGAGGGTCACGATATCGATGTCAGAGAATGGAAAACGCGAGGGCTGAATTGAAATGAAAAGTTGCTGTTCTTTGCAGAGAACTTTGCTAGCCATTTTTGTTTTGAGAGCTGGATAGATTTGTTTCTGTAATAGCCTGGCTAGCTATTTTTGTGTAGAGAGCCTTGATAGATTTATTTCTGTAAAGAGCCTAGCTAGCTTTTTTTTCTGTAGAGAGCCTGGATAGATTTGTTTCTGTAATAGCCTAGCTAGTTATTTTTGTGTAGAGAGCCTGGATAGATTTGTTTCTCTAAAGAGCCTGACTAGCTATGTTTGTGTAAAAGTCTGGCTATATATATTTATACAAAGAGCCTGGCTAGCTAGTTTTTGTCGATAGTATGGCTTTATATTTTTTGTGTAGAGAGCCTGGCTAGATATGTTTGTACAGATGGCTTTGCTAGCTATGTTTTGTAGAGAGCCTAGATGGCTATGTGTTCGTGCAGAGTACATTGCGAGCTATATTTTGTGTCGAAATATATTCGTTTTTATTCAATAGGTTTCTTATACTGTAATTCTTATGTGTTAAATGTGTTTACTAAAAAAGTGTATACAAATTACAACCTAAGAAAGAAGATTTAATTAGCTCTTTAATAAGTGATGTGTTAGTAATGTGTTTCTCCTTTTTTTTAACTGTTTACATTTTTTATTTCTAGCTACCGTATTTTGGTGTAGTCCAGTTTAATTCAATGCATAAAATTTAGTTCAGTCAGTGTTAATAATACCTTTGATATTAAAAGAAAGCATTGTAAACTTGTAGATCGATATAAACGGAGAGATAGAACGCCTTGTAACAATGTAAAAAAATACGTTATGAGTACTGTACGCATCAGAGCAAACATGATTGAGATTGACATATTAACTACTGAAATGTCATAGTTGCAACATTAATTTATTGAAATAACAACTCTCAATCTCTCCCTCTCTCTCTCTCTCTCTCTCTTTTTCTTTCTCTCTCTCTCTCTCTCTCTCCCTCATCACATGATTTTCGACAGTTGTGAGAAAGGAAAGCTTGAAGCGGACCCTAGTTGCTGACTAGACTTTGACCTTGGGAATTCATCTTGGCGATGACGTCAAGGCCATACACCTCGCAAATTTCATTCTGGTTATAGCTGGAACAAAAAAAAAACCTACGTTAAAAGAGGGATCTAAAAGAAGATTTATTTTTCCTTAAGCTTTGTGCATTTCTCAAATCGATCTACGAAATGTATCATGCGTTTATTTAATTAGAAGTTGTGTGTTTTCGTTGTTTTTTTTTGGGGGGAGCAATACACATTTTAGTCAAAGTAAATACGAGACATCAGTGGTTGAGGTAACACGACTATGTTTATTGTTGCTATTAAGCGTTAACGTAAATCCAAATCTATGATACCTGGTGTAATATTTAGTTATGACTACACAATCTAGAAGATGGTAAGTCGCACTTACTGGGTAAAAGAAAATAAACCGAGTGTCGTTGCCTGCTCTATTAACTGCTCTACAAGTATACTGCCCCATTTTCAGCCAGGCGGGGTTCCTGATGACGAGGTCACCGGCAGTGGTAATCTGAATTAAAAAACAAAACACAAAATACATTAAAAAACGTTGAATGCGTACTCTCAGTGTTGTTACTTCTATTGTTTTAAAGCACTTGGTCTGTGCTTCTCAGTTTTGGTACTTCTAATATTTTAAAGCACTTGGTCTCTGCACTCTTAGTGTTTTTACATCTAATGTTTTACAGAACTTGGTATGATCACTTTCAGTATTGTTACTTCTAATGTTTTAAAGCACTTGTTATTCGCAATCTCAGTGTTAGTACTCTAATGTTTTAAAGCACTTGTTCTGTGCACTCTCAGTGTTGTTACTTTTAATGTTTTAAAGCACTTTGTGCACTTTCAGTGTTGTTACTTCTAATGTTTTAAAGCACTTGGTCAGTGCCCTCTAAGTGTTGTTACTTTTAAAGTTTTAAAGCACTTGGTCTGTGCACTCTTAGTGATGATACTTCTAATATTTTAAAGCACCCTGTTTGAGCACTCTAAGTGTTGTTACTTCTAAGGTTTCAAAGCACTTGGTCTGTGCACTCTCATTTTTGTTACTTCTAATGTTTTAAAGAACTTGGTCTCTGCACTCTCAGTGTTGTTACTTCTAATGTTTTAAAGCACTACTTATGTATCTTCTCGGTGTTATTACGGTCAATCTATAACAGATGTTTAAGAATTTATCTCTTACAATGCTTATGTCCGTCTCCAAATTATGAATTTATTTTTTTTTTCTATCATATATTTAGTTTAAAAGTTTTGATAGCCATAAATAAGATTGTTTACCGTGTAATTTTCTCCACTGACTATGGGCCTGTTATCAAAATCTAACCATGAAATGGTTGGAGTGGGTATGCCCTGAGCACGGCAGTACATTTGGGTATCCACGTGTTGGTATTCAAATCGGTCAATGGTCCACATGTAAATTCTGGCTGGCCGATCTGACCAAATGAAGGCAAACACGTTTATGACTTCTCACACAAAAATGAAACAAAGAATAATCTCAAAACCTTCTACCCAATGATCAGCTGAATTCAAACAGGAAAATTAATGTATGAAAAAAAGTCAGCTGCGAAGGCTTACCTCCACTTTTATCTTGACGACATATTGGACCTCCAACTGGAGGGTGACCTAAGGAAGAATTAGGTATAATAAATAATGTTGATTATATATTTAAGAATGAGCTAGGCTAACGATAACGCCAGGACAAATGAGAATCGATTGAAATATGTTTAGATTCTTTATAACAATTAAAGCGATTTCCTATCTTTTTACAGAAGTCGAATAATTTTTCATTGGGCAAAAAATAAATAATTCCTCATTAGTTAAGTAACTTTTTAAGCATTATTATTATAAATTATACATACATTAAATATAACAATAAATAAACAATTTTTACATTTTATCACGGTTTGAAAGTTATTTTTCAAAAAAAAAAATTTAATATAAAAAAATATTTTTATTCCAAAAATCCATTTCATTTAATTTATAAAGTAATTAGAAACATCATCTTTAAATATACCTTTAATAAGAAAATGCCGTTGATTAAATCTTTGAAGCGAAACTCCATAGCCCAATGGCATTAACTAATGCAATTATCACTCATCCAAATAACAACAAATAATGTGAAGTACAAAACATATGTGGTTTCGTACGTAGGGTGTTACAATTCCCTGAATTAATTTAATAATTTTTATTGAAATCTATTTGGGGTTGTTACAAGGTACCTCACCAAATAAACGAATGAATTTGATACATTATTAACACTCTTATTTACATTTATATCAAAGTTAGGAAATTATATGTGTAAATTTTTATGTGGATGATAATATCTTTAAATCCAATGATAATATACTTTTTTTTTAAATATGTAATAATAATAATAAGTGGTCTTATATAGCGCGGTACCCCAGCATAGGGCTGGGCTCACCGCGCTATACATATATATAGCAAAGAGGCATAATCATAATATTAAAATAAAATACATCAATGAAATAAAAACAACATATAAGCAGAACAACACCAGAGGTATATTCATCCACCCACACCAGACATTTTTACAAGGAAACCCATGTACGTTTATCGGTTTATAGGAGGAGAATCAGTCAGAGTAGTATAGTTTAAATAGATGTGTTTTGAGTGCAGTTTTGAAGGCCTGTGTGGTTGTTATATTGCGGATGTGTAGTGGCAAAGAATTCCATTGTTTGGGGGCGCAGAAAGAGAAAGATCGTTCACCATATAATTTAGTGCGTGTCTTGTGAACGGACGGAAGTGAAAATTTAATTTAAAAAAAATAGCAAGGGCCTGAGATTTTCTTTTCAAACTTGAACTCTAATTTTGTTTTTACTTGTAAAGTGGGTGTTTAATGTTATGAGATTTATAACATCCGTCTAAAACATCATTGAAGGCAGTTACAGAAAACAAAGTTGGGAAAGAGGAAACAAGGGCTTGCCAAAGAAATATTGCAGGGCATCACAAGAGGAGGGAGAAGAAGAGGAAGACAAAGAAAAAGATGGGAGGATAACATCAAATAGTGGACAGGACTAACACTGGGCGATGCAGTGCGTAGTGCTAAAGACAGAGAGGAATGGAGGAGGATGGTTCATACGTCATCTGTAGCGCCCCAACGGTCCAAGGACTAATGGACATGAAGATGAGGATGAGGGTCAGTTTTCAATTTCCGTTAATATAAAATATATTTAAAATTGTGTAGAGCGATTTTGTTCTAAATTTAAGATGAAGTTTTCAAAATTTTTAGAGAAGCATTTTTTTTTTTAAGTTAAGGGTCAAGCAAAGTGTTAGTGTAAGCCCAACAATTAACAATTCAAAAACACTGGACATCTAAAGTATGGCTCCAGGGTAGAAATCAGCCGTAAATGAACAACTTTAATTTAAAAAATGATTCAAATAGTGATCATTTAGATGTGGTAATTTAAAAGGTCAGGTTTGGTGTGTAATATTTAGCTGAAAAATACTTTTTAAAACTTATAATGATGTTAGAAACGTAAATATCATTACAAAAAATACTTTTTTATAACTTTGGATTTGTCATAAGTTTGCGCAATAGCGGGTAGAAAATATCGCAAAATTACTACCAATACTATTTCGGTTAAATTGAATGCTATTATCTATGTTTTTCAGAATATGTTAGACTCCATGATGATCTATCTTTGACATGAAGTACAAAATATATCAGAACACACGATAGCAATAATATCAATCGGGGCATGTTTTAATTTTAGCTTGTGAGAATTACTGATCTTGACAATACACATTCATTGGCAATCATTAATTTTTTTTAATTATATAGAAAGGTTGTACATGGGTAGGGTTAAATACCTTGCCTAGTTTTAATATGTTGATTATTGGTATGGTTGGTTACCTTGTCTAGTTTTGAATTGTGTGTATGGGTAGGGTTGAATACCTTGTCTAGTTTTGAATTGTGTGTATGGGTAGGATTAAATACCTTGTCTAGTTTTGAATTGTGTGTATGGGTAGGATTAAATACCTTGTCTAGTTTTGAACTGTGTGTATGGGTAGGATTAAATACCTTGTCTAGTTTTGAATTGTGTGTATGGGTAGGATTAAATACCTTGTCTAGTTTTGAATTGTGTGTATGGGTAGGATTAAATACCTTGTCTAGTTTTGAATTGTGTGTATGGGTAGGATTAAATACCTTGTCTAGTTTTGAATTGTGTGTATGGGTAGGATTAAATACCTTGTCTAGTTTTGAATTGTGTGTATGGGTAGGATTAAATACCTTGTCTAGTTTTGAATTGTGTGTATGGGTAGGATTAAATACCTTGTCTAGTTTTGAATTGTGTGTATGGGTAGGATTAAATACCTTGTCTAGTTTTGAATTGTGTGTATGGGTAGGATTAAATACCTTGTCTAGTTTTGAATTGTGTGTATGGGTAGGATTAAATACCTTGTCTAGTTCCTTTTACCTAGTACCTTGTTTTTTTTTTTAAATGAGTGTATGGTTAGGGTTGAATACCTTGTCTAGTTTTGTAATGTTTATATGGGTTGTGTTGAATACCTCGTCTAGTATTGAAATGTGTGTATTGGTAGAATTGAAAACCTTTCTTAGTTTTGTAGTGTGGAAGCGTTAAATAATAAATGAAACTCAAACTCACCTACGGTGACAGTGTGCACTTGTGTTGCTGTAAAATTTCGTGTCTTGGCGACACACGTGTACGTCCCCGCTTCTGACACGTTGACACAGTCTAGGTACAAATTAGATATAGTTTCGCCTACCTCGTACATTGACAATTCATCATTCTGCTCGTACTGTGGAAAATCATCACCCAACTGAGTGTTGCTGCTCTGGAAGAGATCAAAAGTCTTGTTACAAAGAACACTCACAAATCATTCCAACAACAATAAATTCTTGAAACATGACCGATACATTGGGCTTTGTTACGTAAAATGAAATGTATCTTACACTAGAGTTTACAACATTAAAAAAAAAATTCTTTCAAGAAACTCTTTTTACAAGAAAAATATTTGAACTCCCAAAAACGATTGTCTATAGATGATAAAAATCGTAACTTCATATATGACTTTTTAAATTGTAACATGTCATTGCAATTTATTGCACATACAATGCGCTATTCTGGACAAAGTAAAGGTTATTGATTTTTAGATACAATAGAAAATACTTCGAACCTTTCGATTAGTGAGTGATCAACAAGGTTCTTACCTGAGGTATTCTTACACCGTTTTTCAACCAGTGAATTGTAGGGATAGGGTGACCAAAAACGTTACATGTCAACACCCCATCTTCATACATTTGAAAATTATGGCTGGTGACGAGAGCTGTAAATCTCAAATCAGGCACTGAATACAGAAATGTGAAATCCAGTTATACATAAAATATTTGCCAAAGCGTCTTTTGATGTCAAGTACTATAAAGTCTGTATTCCTTAGAGGTTTTATAATCTTTCAGTTTTTGCTTTTTTTTTTTTAAATCCATAGTTAAAATGATTTGTTTCGTTTATTACAAGGTGATATAGCGCAAACGATACTTACAAGAAAAAGGATCTGCTGTGGCGGATCCAGTGGTGCTGTTTAATGTCTGAGAAATAATTTTTTTTTAAAATTAATCGAATATTAAAATATACTTTTTACCTGTAAACAAAATATTTAAACATTAATTAAGAATATTTAAAATGTATTAACCAAATCCACATAGTGCAGGGACGGACTCTACCTTCCCAGATTTCTCTCTGAACCACTCAATCTCCACACCAAGAGACATTCGAAGTTTTCAACCACCACACTGCTCTACTCCTATGCGCTGCAGTCAACAAGACAAATGGAGACACAGGCCATTGCGCATATTAAATGTAAACTTCCAGTCTGCAAGTGGTAAGCGAGTAGAGATAGCTAACCTAATTAACAGCCTAAAACCCGACATCATCTTGGGCTCAGAAACATGGCTGAATCCCTCCATAGCAAACGCAGAGGTTGTACCAGATATATACAAAGTATTTCGTCGAGACAGAAAAGACAGAGGAGGAGGAGTGCTTGTTGCAGTCCATCACAACTTGGACTGCCACGCTGTTCCAGAACTCGATGTTGACGACTGCGAGATCCTGTGGGTAAAATTGAAACTAAAGGGTAGACGCACACTCTACGTGTGTGCCTATTATCGACCAAATACAGCAGATGAACCAAGCCTGAGGAGGTTCGAGGTATCGCTTCACAGAGCAACACAGTCAAAAAACGCTTTTCTCCTTATAGGGGGGGATTTTAACTTTCCTGGTTGGAATTGGCAGATTCCTGCCTTGAAGCCCAAGTCCCCATACCCTGTTCTACACTCAGAATTCATGGAGATAATTAACAACCATGGTCTGGAACAGCTGGTTAAAGAACCCACGAGGGGGGAAAACACTCTTGACCTACTCCTCACCAATTGTCCACATCGTGTCCAAAAAGTTGAGGTCATCCCCGGGATTTCGGACCACAGCATTCCTTATTGTGAATTTCAGGTCAACACACTAAAAATGAAACAAATCATTCGAGAAATCCCAATTTATGCCAAGGCAGACTGGGATGGCCTAAGGATTGCAACCACAGAGCTAAGCTCAAACATGAAGGTGATTCAAGGTACAGCGACAACAGACGAGCTGTGGGAGAAGTTCAAGACTACAATCACTGATGCAGTGAAGAAATTTATACCACACCAAATCACCAAACCTAGGATAAATCAGCCATGGGTCACGGCTGAAATCCGTAGGCTCATCCACAGGAGAGACCGCCAATACAAACGCATGAAGAAAAATGGCTCGATGGAACTGAGAGAGGAGGTACTGAGACTCCGCCGAACCATTCAACGCTTATTGCGTAGATCGTATTGGAACTACATGAACGGCATCTTCTCAGAGGAAGACACCCCGACCAAAGATGTCAAGAACAAGCGCTTCTGGAGCTATGTGAAACACCAAAAGTCCTCAAACGCTGGAGTTTCCCCCTTGAGGTGGGATGGCCAATTGACATCTGACCCAAAAGCACAGGCGGAGATACTCAATCAGCAGTTCCAGTCGGTCTTTGGTGACGGTAGAGAGTACTCTGAGACTGAGTTCCTTCTGAAGACCAAAATGATGAACAGAGCCTATCCTATCATGGGAGATATCCAGATATCAGAACAAGGTGTGTTTGCCCTCCTCAATACCATTAACCCTTACAAAGCATGTGGTCCTGACAACATTAAACCACGAGTGCTCAAAGAATTAGCCAAAGAAATCGCTCCTGCACTGACAATCCTCTTCCAATCGTCACTATGCACAGGAAATGTTCCAGCAGACTGGAGAACAGCGCATGTCACTCCAATTTACAAGAAAGGGGAGCATTCCGACCCTGCCAACTATCGTCCGATATCCCTCACTAGCGTCGTCTGCAAACTGTTGGAGCACATAATCGTAAGCTCTGTCATGAAGCATCTTGAAAGCCAAAATATACTCAATGACTGTCAACATGGCTTCCGAGTCAATAGGTCATGTGAGACCCAGCTTCTCGAATTTGTAGAAGACTTGATGACCAATCTGGAGAACCACAAGCAGACTGACGTGCTAGTAATGGACTTCGCAAAAGCATTTGACCGGGTGAATCATAGTTTGCTTCTACACAAACTCCAGATATATGGGATTCAAGGCACCACTAAAACATGGATCTCTAGCTTCCTCAGCCACCGACGCCAAGCAGTAGTGGTGGGCGGTACAAGCTCCTCCTTTGTCAATGTGAAGTCAGGGGTCCCCCAGGGATCAGTCCTGGGCCCCTGTTTGTTCCTAGCATACATTAATGACCTACCGGAGAAACTGACATCACAGGCAAGACTGTTTGCAGATGACACAGCAGTGTATAGGACGATCGCCAACAGATCTGACCAGGACCAGCTACAACAGGATCTCAATCTGTTAGCTGAGTGGGAGATGAGCTGGGACATGGAATTTCACCCTGCCAAGTGCCAGACACTATCAATCTCTAGAAGTTGTACTCCTCTACACTACCAATACAAACTGCACGGCCATATTCTTGAGCAAGTTTCCTCCGTAAAGTACCTGGGTGTTACCATTCAAAGAGAGGTCCGCTGGGACGAGCATATTAACAATGTATGTAACCAAGCAAACAAGACCCTAGGGTTCTTAAGGCGAAATCTAAAGATTGGCAACTCCTGTGTGAAAGAAAGAGCATATAAAGCCTTTATCCGTCCGATTTTAGATTATGCATCTTCAGTCTGGGACCCATTTACCCAGAAGAGCATTGACAGGTTGGAGGCGGTCCAGCGACGAGCAGCACGCTTTGTCCTAAACCGCTACAGGAATACCTCAAGTGTTGGCAGCATGCTAGAAACACTAGGCTGGTCACCATTGGAGAAACGACGACGACAATCCAGGCTCTCCATGATGTACAAGATAAATAATGGGCTGGTCCACTGTTCCAGTATTAAACAGAAACTCGTCCCTCTCCCCAATAGACAGCGACGAGGCCATGACAGGCAATTCAGGCTCATGCCAGCAAGAAGCCAGTATAGGAGCTGCTCATTCCTGCCCAAGACAATCAGGGACTGGAACAATCTTTCAAAAGGAACGGTTGAGGCGACAACACTAGACACATTTGTGTCTATTGCCTCAAGCCTTCAAACCCCCAGTGCATGATTCCCTCACAAAGTGGCACTGGAAATCTGTGAAATTTCCTCATCAACAACAGGAACAGAAACATTGCAAATCCCATCTACATGCATAGGAGCCAAAATGATCAATAAATTGATCGTGGGCCCTTAAGATATAGAAGAAGAAGAAGAAGAAATCCAGAAATAATTTCTCAGGGAATTCCCCATCATGAAGGAACATAGTTTTATTGTTATTAATACTTTCCTTATACACTAGTTTAATGTGGAATATCTATCTGGTTGCAGAACTAACCAAGCTCGGTATTACATTATTACAGTCTATTTTCTCCAATAAGGATTGAAAATAGACCAGGATGCTAAAGATGACCAGCCTAGTATCTTCTGTAAGTGGCACTGTGCTCTTATGCTTTTGACGTCACAGGACTTGTCTTAAATTTCATTGTATTAATGACATAGCTCCTACCAGACTCAATATCCGTGTGTTGTTTTTTCTTTGTTGGTCAAGGTTGGCATTTGAACTCCAGTTAGCAATTTAGTGACTGACTCACTTTAAGCAACTAGATCAGTGAGGAAAGATCGCTGGATCAGTTTAGGATATTTTGGTGACCCACAAAAGTTGAATGGTATGGCCTCGAGTAAGTGTTTTGTAAACAAAAAAGTGTGTATTCAATGCTAGAAAAAATATATCATCAAAGACAATCTAGACAAACTATCCTTAGATGATTTAAAGATAACTATAACAACAAAAATAATAACATGAAAAAATGTATTGTCTCCTAGATTTGTTATATTAAAATATTATTTTTTCTTTAAAAAAAAACAATCATCGTCCTTAAGAATCAAGAGACTCTAGCTTGCCTGTGATGGTGTTGTTCTTGTACAAGTAAACCTAAATTAGATTTCGCTATATTTATCAGCAAGTTGAATGGACCCAGAGACATTGTCGGTCTTTGTCCCCGTCCGCCCTTTTTCAAATTAAGTTGTATTTGTTGCCCGATTAAATCGATGCATATTGGTGAGGGGGTGGGGGGTTCTGCATCACCTCTTTGAGCCCATGAGATACACGAGAGCTTCGCGAAGCCTCTCATTGTACTAGCAATCTTACGCTATATTTATCAAGCAAGTTGAATGGACCCAGAGACATTGTCGGTCTTTGTCCTCGTCCGCCCTTTTTCAAATTAAGTTGTATTTGTTGCCCGATTAAATCGATGCATATTGGTGGGGGGGGGATGGGGGGTGTTCTGCATCACCTCTTTAAGCCCATGAGATACACGAGAGCTTTGCGAAACCTCTCATTGTACTAGCAATCTTACGATTAAGTCAGTGTGATAGTTTCACATGTTTAAAAACATTCCTGACGCCTGTGACGATCTGAGGCTGGACTTTGTAAAATTTCTTATATCGTAAATCCGCCCTTGGAAACCATTGTATAATAACTCCTTTCCCTCCCCTCAAGTAGCCCCGCCGCCGCTCAGCACGAGTGAGTTCCCTTGTGATATTGTATTTCTGCATCAGTTCGCTCACCCCCCCCCCCCGAACATGCTATTTGCGGTCAACCATCCCACCGAACAACCTTGAGGAAATAATACCATTCCCCC